CATTCAAACTCCACTATTGTTTTGAATTTCTCGCTGTCTTCAGCCTATAATTGAGTCAGAATACCATTAGTTTTCATCTGTTAAAGACAGCGACAAGCATTAGTCTAGGTATGAATTGTTTTAAAGGCAGTACTGTCAACTCTGATGTCCCAAGTGACAGCAAAATCCTAGGGCTCATTTAATAGGTGGTAATTAACCAGAATTTCTCAGTCTGCCACAAGGAAACCTTCAAAAGGAAACTAATATGGGCATTATATAATCACCTCTAATTTGAGTGGTAAAATTTTGTGTTTTGCCCACGAAATAGATTTTTCTATATTTGGGATTGTGCAGGAGTCAACAAGAGACTGTTTTCTGTCAGGGGAGAATACCAGCTTTTTGTGTTCTTGAAGGTGGAACGTGATGATAAAGCAAAACCTCAGAATAATATTAATACTTATTTCTCTTTCACTTGCTATTTAAAAGAAAACAAACTTACGTTATAAGGCTTGATTGTCTGACTTAAAATATCTAGAAAAAAAAATTGGCAGTGTAAGAGTGGCATTATGTCTTCAGTTTTATACAGCACAAGCCAAGCACCAGCTGCTTCTTTGAAAGACATTTCCTTACGCAAAGAAACAAAATAACCAAGCAGTTCCTCCAGCTGGCCCTCAAAAGGTAGCATTCGGTTTTTCTCACTGCTCCTGAGAGGTTTACATGACCAATGCAAAAAAATAAAGGCGTACTTTTGTAAAATGACATTATGCATATGAATTTTGTTCATGCAGAAACCTGAACTCACCAGCAGGTCCTGCTGTCTCCTTCATGAGCATGATGACAGGAATGTACCTGTTGTGAACTCGAGCACCGTTGTACAAGGAAAAAAAATCCCTGATGGATGCTCTTTACAAACAGTGTCAAGCAAAACTGGGGACTGGAAAATAAAACTTAGGAAAAAAATGTGTAAAATGGATGCTGCCTCTTAAATTTCTAAGCACATACCGATGGAGCTCTCCCTGGAGCACAGCTTGCATTTCTGCACCATGGTGGCACTTCCTCGGCCTCCTTTCAGGGGAGCACTGTCCTGAAAACCATCGCAATAGAGTCATCATTTTTAACTGCACTCCTGCTGACCCACTGGAAACCTCTGCAAAGGAAAGTAGTTCTTACAATGGTCTCTAACTTATTAAAAATATTGCAATGAGAAGGCTTTTTTTTAAAAACTGGAGAGATGTATAATGCAGAAAGCTGTGATTATCAAAGAGGAATTCTGTTCTAGATTTAAATAGTGAATGATAGATAGTTATGTCTTGTCCATATAGGCATGTTCCATTAACTCCTCAAAAGGCATTCTTGCCATACTGTAGTATGCAACAATATGGGATGATTATTCCTAAGAACAGAACTTTCTCTTATTCTTGTCAAATTTTACCTTGCTTTTTCAGTTTCCAAATGCTAACTGAGCATGCTTAACTCACCCTGAATTACTTAAATGTCTCCAAAAAGATTCCATCAGCATCAGAGAAATATGCTAAAGGCACAATGCTACTCTGGTATCATTTTGAAATTTGTTTGCAACTGTATTTTCAAAGGAAAGTGGCTTTTCAAAGCAGACGTAAAAACTTTTGTCACTGACCATCACTATTCCGAGGACATATTTCAATTAATGGGCTCCAAAAATTGTTTTAGTATGGAACATAACAGCATTTTGTGGATCCATATAGCTAAAAAAATACTATCTCATGTAAAGGGCAAGCCAGCACATCCCTGACGCTAACATCTTTTGCATGTAAGAGGCAGGTTTGGTTTCTTTTTGTTCTGATGTAAGGTACAAGGGGGAAAACATACCATCAATCGCAGATACTGCCATTTTTCAGAAACTTCACCACAGTTCCCACATTTCAACTGAAAAGTAAACATACGCTGGAAAATTTAAAGCTGTCAATAATCAGGGATTAGAAAGATGAAGGAGCTGATGTGAGCCCTCCAGGTTCACAATCCCACTGTTTCACAGCTGAATCACAGACTCAGAACAGTTTCCGCGGGAAGAGATCTTGAAGATCATCGAGTCCAGCCTTCGTCCCAGCCCTACCAACCGGCAAAACTATGTGCCCCAAGGCAACATCCCCCCGGCCCTTCAACACCTCCAGGGACGGTGACTCAACCACGTCCCTAGGCAGCCTGTTCCAATGTCTGACAACCCTCCCGGGGGAGGAGCCGGAGGCAGATACCGCTCGTTGTCTGTCCCAACAGCCTCAGCCAGGCGGGTCTGCCCATCGCACCGGGCCTGCCCTTCGCTGTGGCGGGTGGAAAGAGGGTTACTTGTGCTAACGGCTGCGTGTCCCCGTGCTTCTGCCGCCAGAGTCCCTGCTCCGGCGGCAGCCTGGCCCCACTGCGTGAGGAAAAACACACCCTTGTTTAAGCCGAGCGATGTCACAGTCAACACCGCGGGCCTTCGCCGCAGTGAACACCGCGGGCCTTCGCCGCCAGGT